ATGTCCTGAGAGCGCACGCTGTAGCTGCACTCACATCACCACACACTGGCTTAATGGGAGAAAAGCACAATCAAATCAGATATTGGGGGAGGATGAAAATGTAAAATTTAATTTATGTTTTAAAGTTGCCACAGAATGAAGTTAATTTTCTGACAAATGTATTACAATATTAACAAAGTCCATGCTCAATAATCCAGGTATAAAATCCAACATTTTTCAGTCAGGTCATCTGGACAGTTTCTTTTTTGTGCTGAAACGTTTCGCCTTCAATCCAGAAGGCTTCATCAGTCAAAGAAACACACAACGAAAACTGATTCTTCCCCCAACAGCTTACTCCAAAGTGGAACAAACCAGTTCTGCTTGTGATAAGATGATCTCTTTGGTACGGCCCCTCCTCCATTGCCGGCCCTCTTCCTTGTTGACAGTCCTGTCAAACTGGTTGAAAACAACAAAGTCCATGCTCAGTAATCCAGGTATAAAGTCCAACGTTTTTCAGTCACGTCATCTGGACAGTTTCTTATGAAACTTGACAAGACTGTCAACAAGGAAGAGGGCCGGCAATGGAGGAGGGGCCGTACCAAAGAGATCATCTTATCACAAGCAGAACTGGTTTGTTCCACTTTGGAGTAAGCTGTTGGAGGAAGAATCAGTTTTGTTGTGTGTTTCCTTGACTGATGAAGCCTTCTGGATGGAAGGTGAAACGTTTCAGCACAAAAAAGAAACTGTCCAGATGACCTGACTGAAAAATGTTGGGTATTATTACACACGTGTTCTCCTTCGTTCGACTGCTCTCTTCTTCAGGGGTCACCACAGTGAACTAACTCACACCAAGACTATTGTTTTTACGTTGGATGTCCTTCCTGACACAACCATAGACACTGAGCTACCACAGCCCTCTGTGTGGAGCAGAGAGCTGCTATCCAGATTGTGGGGGGGTTAAGATCCTTGCCCAAGGGCCCACAGTGGAGCAAATGAGGGTGGAGGAAGGTGTGGGTGTTTCACTTTTCCCACCCACATTTTGATGTTGTCGGTCCAGGGAGTTGAGCCGGTGACCTTCCAATCTCAGGCTCACCTTCTCTAACCTCTGCACCACCATGCCCCCATTCGTTCACTACACACTAGCTTCAGTCACAGACCTGAGGTCCAGAACAACCACCTGCTTGGTGTGTTTTTATTTTAGTTAACTCCTTATATTTTACTGGATCATTCCAAACATATCCAGCATAAATACATTTATTCCTTTATTTATTTACCATACCATACCATATTCCTAATATAAGGAGTGAACATGAATAATGTTTATTGTTTGCAATGATTATAATGAAGTCATGCAAAATATATGTTTAAACATACTTTGTCTGTTGTGTTTTTCAGAAAAGGAGCTCTGTGTGTGTGCTTGAGCCAGAATCTGTTTACGTCAGAAGAGAGTCATAACTTGTCAAAGATCCTTAAAACTCTTCTGAGAGTTCAACGTTTCTTTGTGACTCTTTTCACTTCGTCTGTTTTCTCCATCCTGATTTGTTCTTCTAATGTTCGTCTCATTGATTCCTGCGCAGAGAAACAAGTTTTGTTAGAACTAAACGAACTAGAGAAGACTAAATGTTTTTCTCTCTGTGAGACTCGTGTCTTCAACTTAAAGTGTGAGCTGGCTGAAGTTTGTCGATCGCCCACACCTTCTCCTCAGCTGTCGTCCTCACCGAGCCTTCAAGCTGCACTTTCGGCTACATTCAGCATTTCCTGGCTAGTCCTCTCCTCGTGGTCTATCCTGGTCTGATCCACCAGCAGAAACCCAGAAAGACAAGTGAACCCAGCCCTCAAACTGGTCTGGTAAGGAGCTGAGACCCGGTGACATGAAGCACCTTTGGGTCTGGTTCTGTCATTGAATCTGATGCAGCTTCATCGTTCATTTCCTGGCTCGCAGTGATAATAAGATCTGGTCACATTAAATAACTTCTCTCAACCAAAGTCCAAAGTAAACTATCAAACAGTTCAACGTTGACTAAATGTTCACGTGTGTAAAATCCTAAATAATTCCTGCTCAAATAATTATTTCTGTCTTAGCTGGAAGAAATTAATCTTTGACTGATAAGTTATTGTTTAGATTGTTCATTATTATTTTAGAAATTACTTTTTCAAACTAATTATTTTCCAAATTCTTCTTCTTCTTAATTTGTGTTGTTCAGATCTGTTTATTGTTGTTGATGTTTATTATCTTGATTAATTATTCAGTAATGACATTTAAAAAGGCTAACTCGGGCTTCTCCTCGTTCAGTCTAACGATGTGATAAGAGTTCATCTTCAGCTGCTGAGGTTCATCATTCAAGGGTGAATGTCGTGGTTGTAATGTAAAGGGGGCGTGGTGGTGCAGAGGTTAGAGAGGGTGGGCCTGTGCTCAGAAGGTCGCCGGTTCTACTCTCTGGACCAACACCATGAAAATGTGGGTGGGAAAGGTGAAGCATCCACACCTGCCTCCACCCTCATTTGCTCCACTCTGGGCCCTTGAGCAAGGCCCTTAAACCCACCATGTGCTCCCTGGGCATCTTAGATGGCAGCTCTCTGCTTCACGTGTGTGTTCACATGTGTGTTCACATGTGTGTTCACGTGTGCAATGGGAAAAGTGCAGATAATTAATTTCCCCATCGGTGATTAAGAGTCTAATAAAACATGTTAAATATGTAACTTGTTACGTGACGTGGTGCTCTCGGTTTTATTTTCCTCACTCACTCCTGCTACATCACCATCAAAAATGAAGCTGTGAGGTGGAGCAGAGGTTAGAGAAGCAATGTTGTGATCAGACGGTCGCCGGTTCGATTTCCTTTGTAGACCATAACATGAAAATGTGGGTGGAAAAGGTGAAGCGGTCACATCTGACGAACTTCAGGAGGAACGCCAGGAGAGACTGGGGCTGACAGCAGCTTTCCTATTGATCATCTTGGATCTTCACAAAGTCTCCTGTTAGTTGGACACCTCCCAGGGAGGCGTCCAGGGGGCATCCTAACCAGGACAACCTCACTGGGCTCCTCTGGATGTGGAGGAGCAGCAACTCCAACTCTCTCCTGGGTAACTGAGTCTCTCATCCTGTCTCTGAGCGGGAGTCCAGGAACCTTTCTGGGATGATTCATGTCTCTGCAGGGGACCATGTGGCCCCAAGACTCTGGAACAACCTTAATATTTGTTGTTCACAACAACAAATGGCAACACGATGGCTCAGTGGTTAGCACTGTTGTCTCACAGCAAGAAGGTCCTGTGTTAAATCCCCGGTTGGACCTGGGGTCTTTCTGTGTGGAGCTTGCATGTTCTTCTCGTGTTTGCGTGGGTTTTCTCCGTGTTTCCTCCCACAGGCCAAAGCCTTCAGGCCCAGACCTCCCTGTGACCTCAGTGGGATTTGCCTGGTTAAAGGTTAATAAATAAAAATAAACAAATAAATAAAATATTTGAACAGCAGCGTCTAAACAGTTTCTTAATAAGCCTGAAACTCACTGTGAATCTGAGTTTTAGTTCCATCAGATATTTTACGTTTCTTCTGTTAGTTTGATTATAATTATTCTCATGCTGATGTGACGACCTCTGAGTAAAGATTTGAGCCTGTTTAATTGTACATGTTGGTTTTTATGGCTGAATGTTTTTAATGTTGTATTTTCCTATGTGTTTTTAACCAGCTTGTAAAGCACAACATCATTGTTTTTAAATGTGCTGTACAACTAAAACTGTAACACATTTTTAATTTCCTATTTGTTTGTTTGTTTGTTTGTTATTGTCTCTTGTGTTTGGTATTATCTGTTTTCACTGTGTGTTGTTTTGTGTGCATAACAGCAGTTGTTTATAAATGTGTTATATAAATAAGTTTGATAATACAACAATAACTGTAGAATAAAGATGACTTCATTACCAGAAGAGAAACAAGTAACACAATACGCTCAGGACGCCAGCCTCTCACCGAGAGAACCAGTTTAATTTAAAATGGTCTAAATGGTTGAAAAACACACAGAACAAAACGACGGACAGGAAGCTGAGCAGTTATGTAATTTACAACATTTATTATAAGGAACTGCATTGTGGAGAGACTTCATATAGTCTGGCTGTGCTCTCACTGTATTCTGATTAGATTAAAGTAGATTAATCTGTGAATCAACTTGTTTACAGTGAATGTTCAGGAGTGCTTGGAGTTCTCTGCATTACTAACTCTGACCACTAGGGGCGCAAGACCCTAACAACAAACTCAATCATCCAGGTAGATAAATACAAAGCAGGGTTAAATGAGGTCATCCTAACAACAGATGTTGCGTCTTTCAGTTCCTCACGCAGTGACTTGTCAATCAACTGGGGTGGCCAGGGTTAGCACAGGCCACCCCTCTAGCTCCGCCCCTGGTTCAGAGCATGCTGGGAACCACTCTCAGCTACGTCCACATCAAACTGGAGCTAAATTTCTGTAAAACTGACAGAGTTCTGACTTTTGTTGTGTTTTATAAGATCAGCTGACCCTGGAGGCCACTGGGCTGACTCTAAAAGTTCATTAGTTACTGGTAAACAGCAAAACGTTTAATTAAAACCCATTCTCGTGAGATATTTTGCTGACAGATGTAGAAAAGAGCTCACACAAACACGAGCAACATTATTGGACTAAAAAAAACAAGATGTGAGAACTAAAGACTGACACTTCATGTCATCTGATCACTGATCTGTGGTTCCTCTATTCTGTTCTGTTCTATTCTGTTCTATTCTGTTCTATTCTGTTCTATTCTGTTCTATTCTGTTCTATTCTGTTCTCCTCTGTTCTCCTGTGTTCTGTTCTACAGTCAGGGCCTTTGTTTGGGCTGTAGGAACATTTTCCTCAGCTCTAACTTCACCTTCCCCGCCCTGCTCTCTCCTGGCAGCGCCGGGTTTTTTCTGCCATGACGTCAGACCACAATGCATTGCGCTGTTTGGAGTTTACCCCTCGTCTCCATGGCAACCAGGAGCAGCTCAGCCTTTTATTCAAATCGACCCGGAAGGCCGGATCCTCCCGGTCCAATCTGCGCGCTCCGGGGTGACATAATGGAAGTTTTGGGCTGGGAGGCCAGAGGAGTGTGGTGGAGCTGCGTCTGGAGAGGAGAGCGAGTCCGGACCCCCGACCCAGGAGCACCAGGTCCGACTGAGAGGAGAGTCAAGAACGGGATCTGGACCTGAGACTCAACACGGACCGTGTCTTTCTTCCTGCTCTGATGTGAATGTTGGTTCGCGACGCCCCACACTCCCTCATGAGGGTGTCGGATGAAAACCAGCTTTAATCCGGACTCTACCCGGACCCCGCCGAACCCTCTGAGGGTCTCCAACCTGAAATACACGATGATGAAGAAGGAGAGCAGTCTGAACCCGGACCAGAACTCCGAGCTGAAGTCCGGCTCGCTCCGGGACACGGGCGGACTTTTAAACTCGCTGGACCTGGGACTCCTTAAACTGACCCCACCGGACCTGGAGCGCCTCATAGTCCAGTCCAGTGGTCTGGGAGCCGCCAGCAACATCCCGAACCCGCACTTCCTGCACCCGAAGTCTGGCAGCGACGAGCAGGAGTTCGCGGAGGGGTTCGTGAAGGCTCTGGAGGACCTCCACAAGCAGAACCAGCTGAGCGAGGCCGTGGATCTGCTCGGACCAGCTGGGTCCGGCTCTGCCGGGCTGCAGCCTCCGGACCTGCCTGTCTACACCTCCCTGAACGGCTACACCTCCATGAGCTACACGGACACCACCCCCTTCCCCCCCCTGAACCAGCAGGCTGCGGGTCTGGCCCGGCTCCAGCAGCCCGGCGTGAAGGACGAGCCGCAGACGGTTCCGGACATGCAGAGCTTCGGAGACAGTCCCCCCCTGTCCCCCATAGACATGGACAACCAGGAGCGCATCAAGGCCGAGAGGAAGAAGCTGCGGAACCGGATCGCAGCCTCCAAGTGCCGCAAGAGGAAGCTGGAGCGGATCTCCAGGCTGGAGGAGAAGGTGAAGACCCTGAAGAGCCAGAACACGGAGCTGGCCTCCACCGCCAGCGTCCTGCGGGAGCAGGTGGCGCAGCTCAAGCAGAAGGTGATGAACCACGTGAGCAGCGGCTGCCAGCTGCTCACCAGCCACGTCCAAGCCTACTGACCCCCCTGCGAGGCTTTGATGAACACATGGACCGGTTCCGAGTCCTGACTGACGAGGAGGCTGGGAGATCGATACATGTTATCGATACCACCCCGGACCATAATGGGATCGATACCTGAGATTGTGTCTTTCCAAATCAGCCAGCGAAGCGGTCCAGTTATCGATACTCTCACGGGTATCGGATCAAGATGAGTGTGGTTGAATTGATAATAATGTACTTTCAGTAAAGGTGTGCCAAGTGATCCAGATATACCATTATGGACTGATCTTTTCACCTATGAAAAGATAGATATCCAAAAGATATTATACTGGTCAAACTGATGTTTGACCAGTCAAGTGTGCAGATCGATCCATATATCGATACTGTCGCTGACGTCAGGATGATGCCAGCACAGTTGCAGGGTTCTCTTCCAGTTTAAGTATTTATGTTTGCTCTCCATTCCCTGAAACTTAAGTGTTTTTGTTTATGACCAAAATGTTTCAGATTTAAAAATATATTTTCTAATAGTAAGTGTGGGAATCTTATCAAACCCAAGTCCAGAAAAAAAAGGAAAGAAGTGAAAACGATTTTTGTAATTTTTTTGTATGGAAAATGCAAGAACATTCTTTCATGTTATGTGTGTGTGTATATATATATATATATATATATATATATATATATATATATATATATATATATATATATATACATATATACACACACATATATAGTGTGTGAAAGTGTATCAGCTTTAGCTAAAAGTACTTGGTCGTGTTTAGTTGGTATGGGATTGACTCCAAACGTTGCAGTATAACTAAAAGGGCTCCTGTTCCTGATGACACCGTGACTTCAACAGAAGGGATTCATGGACCAGGATCTTAATGTGGATCTCAGCCTGTTTGGACTCATCAGGACTGAACTTTGCAGAGGACATGTACTGGGAGCTAAATAAGATCTCAACACCACGTGCTCTCCAGTATAACATACCATGCTCGTTTACAACTACTTACCAATGAGAAATCTATATTTTATTTACTGAAACACATTTATAGTTGTATTTTCCATGTTTTGTACAAAATGATCATGTATCTTATGTTTTGAGTAACAATTGTATTTGGTTCTGCAGCGGCTGACTGTAGGACGTGTAAATGTACAGACTTCACGTGTATCAGTGTGTACTCGACTGGGCTCTGCCCACCCGCATTTATTAAATCCACTACATAATTTAAATCCACTCCGAGAACACTTTGTTTTACTGATGACACTTTCAGTGCATCACTTCACAGGACAACAGAGAAGCTGAATTACTTCATTCTTTATTTCATTTCGAACAGTTAAAACAATTTCAACAAAACCATAAACAAATAAAAACGTAAATTTTTCCACCAAAATATTCTGGAAACAAAACAAAAATGTTTGAAAAGGGAGAAAGAAGAAGCAATGGCTTATCCAGTCCTGTCCCTAAATTTACAGACAAATTCTGAACCAAACCAGTTTCATAAAAAAACAAACATTTAAGAACACAAAAAGTGTAGGCAGAAACACAAACTTATTATACCGTCACTTTGTTATACATTAAAATCAAAGCAGCAGAATATCATTTTCTAAAACATATCAAGGATATCTGAGTCAGGCCAGAGATTAAAAACTGTCTGAATTAAAAAGTAAAATTAAATAAATAACATGTATACTTCTACTGGGCACAGTAAAATGACCGTGAGCCATTTGTGAAACGTCACCTTATCATACACACAATTCTGAAAAGTAGTTCAAATTAGAGACTTTGCTTTGACTGCACGTCGCCCGCCACCTTTCACGCCAAATCATTTTGAGAAACGAGTCGTAGAAGTTTTGGTTAAACCTTGAAAACATGGTTATGATGTTCGCTCTGTGGGATACGGCCACACTGAAACCACCGTCTGTAAAACTGACTCACTGCATCCAGTGGTTCCTGAAAGTTTCATCAAAAGCTATGCAGCACTACATGATATATTTTGCTAACAGCCAACCTGGGCTGTTATGTTTTAAACAAAGAGTGTGAGCATCTGTTGTGGATGACTCTCTACAGCCACACCAACATTTAGTTCATATCTGTGAACTCAGATGAACTGCAGTCATTTCATCTTGTTAAGCTCAAGAAGCTGTGACGGCCATCTTGATCAAGTTAGAGACCGAAAGCTAATCAGCTGTAAACATCCGATGATTACTTATTGTTCCGTTCAGGTTCGTTCAATGGTTCCTGAGATATTTTGCTAACAGACAAACACACAAAAGGCAAAAATATTACCCGACAAATGGTGTATTTGTTATCAAAATATTTCATGAACCACTAAACGAATTTAGATGACACCTTCAGGAAATCATCGTGTGAACATTTGCAATGGATTCATTTCTGGAGTCAACCTCGTTCAAGATGGCCGCCCCAGCTGATTAAACTTAACTGACATGAAACTGGATACAGACAGTGAGCTAAAGCTGGATGTGGTAGGTAGGGGCAGCACGGTGGTGCAAGCGGCAGAGCTGCTGCCTCTCAGCAAGAAGGTCGCCCTGGTTCAAATCCCGGTCCGGGGCCTCTCTGGGTGGAATTTGCATGTTCTCTCCGTGCATGTGTGGGTTTTCTCCTGGTATGCCAGTTTCCTCTCACAGACCAAAAACATGCATGTTAGGCTGATTGATAACTCTAAATTGACCCTAGGTGTGAGAGAGTGAATGGTTGTTTGTCTCATTTGTCTCTATGTGTCCCTGTGACGGACTGGAGACCTGTCCAGGGTGTCCCCCACCTCTCACACAGTGATTGCTGGACCTGGGGACCAGTGACCCCCATAACCATAAAAGTAGGAAGCGAGTAAAGATAACGTATGGATGGATGGATGGATGGATGGATGGATGGATGGATGGATGGACTTGAACTCACTCGGCTCTCCTGACGAACAAAGAATTAAAGGAAAATAACAAAATAAAAACAAAATCTTAACAAAAAGATGTTTTTTGAAAACGGTCTCTAAATTTCTAGAAAGCTTCATCAACCCACCACAGTCTGACTCAAGCTTCCATCTTTTTTAAGGATGAGTCCCAGTTGAAACCCATCTCCACCAGTAATCTGGCTCCTTGGTTCAATTCTGAGTTACGTACTTTAAAGCAGGCATCTAGAAACCATGAGAGAAAATGGCGCTTAACTAATGTTGAAGATTTTTATTTAACTTGGAAAGATAGTCTGCTAACATATAAGAAAGCTCTCCGTAAAGCTAGAACTTTATATTACTCATCTTTAATAGAGGAGAATAAAAATAACTCTAGGTTTCTGTTTAGTACTATTGCTAGACTAATTAAAAGTCCCATTTCTGTTGAACCATGTGTCCCTACAACTATAAGTAGTGATGACTTCATGAGATTCTTTATAAATAAAATTATTTCAATTAGAGAGAAAATTCAAACCATCCTTCCTTCTACTGTCTCTAGTCCCCTGTCAAATGAGGCAACTTTAAAAATTTCACTAGAGCCTGATTTATGTTTGGACAGTTTTTGTCCTGTTGAGCTCTCTGAATTGTCAAAAATAATAACCTCATCCAAACCATCCACATGCCTGCTAGATCCCATCCCAACCAGACTGTTTAAAGAGGTATTCCCCCTAATTAATGTTTACATTTTGGATCTACTTAATTTGTCTTTAATGGATGGTTATGTACCATAGCGCTTTAAGGTTGCTGTAATTAAACCTTTACTTAAGAAGTCTGATCTTGATTCAGAAATTCTGGCCAACTATAGACCTATATCTAATCTAACTTTCATCTCAAAAATTCTAGAGAAAATAGTTGCAGGTCAGTTGCGTGAACATCTACAAAGAAATAATCTGTTTGAAGAGTTTCAGTCAGGGTTTAGAGCTCATCATAGCACAGAAACAGCGCTAGTAAAAGTCACTAATGATATTCTCATGGCCTCAGACAATGGACTTGTGTCTATACTGGTCCTGTTAGACCTCAGTGCTGCATTTGATATAGTTGATCACAATATTTTACTACAGAGGTTTGAATATGATATTGGGATTACAGGAACAGCTCTAAAATGGTTTAAATCATATCTATCTGATAGATTCCAGTTTGTAAATGTAAATAATAAATCTTCTTCATACACCAAAGTTAGTCATGGAGTTCCTCAGGGCTCAGTGCTTGGGCACTCGTTACTTTATGCTTCTATTAGGTAAAGTTATTAAACAGCATGGAATAAATTTCCATTGCTATGCTGATGACACACAATTATATTTGTCCATTAAACCCAATGAATCCAATCAGCTACTTAGACTACAAGCATGTCTTAAAGACATAAAAACCTGGATGGCCCTTAATTTTCTCCTGTTGAACACAGACTAGACTGAGGTTTCGGTTTTTGGACCTGAGTACCTTAGTCCCTAGTAAGGGATACATTTTTCAGTCTTTCTCCCTCCTTAGATGGCATTAATCTGTCCTCCAGCTCTAATGTTAAAAATCTTGGTGTTATTTTTGATCAGGACATGTCTTTTATCCCCCACATTAAAAACGTTACTAGAACCTCCTTCTTCCACCTGCATAATATCACTAAAATTAGAAACATCTAAAAATGATGCAGAAAAACTGGTCCATGCATTTGTCACATCTAGACTGGACTATTGCAATGGTTTATTATCTGGGTGTCCAAATACTTCTTTAAAACGTCTTCAGTTGATCCAAAATGCTGCTGCCAGAGTCTTAACTGGAGTTAGTGGGAGAGATCATATTTCTCCAGTTTTAGTTTCTCTACATTGGCTCCCTGTCAAATCCAGAATATAATCAAAATCTTACTTCTAACCTACAAAGCTCTCAACAACCTGGCTCCATCTTATATTACAGATCTTATTGTTCCATATTTTCCTAACAGAGCACTTCACTCTCAGGCTGCAGGTTTACTTGTGGTTCCTAGAATTTACAAAAGCAGAATGGGAGGAAGATCTTTCAGTTATCAGGCTCCTCTCTTGTGGAACCAACTGCCAATCTCTGTCCGTGAGGCTGACACATTATTCAGTTTTAAAACTAGGCTTAAGACTTCCCTTTTTGATAAATCCTATAGTTAGGGTCGGCTTGGGTTCCCTGAGCTGTCCCTTAGTTATGCTGCTATAGGCTTAGACTGCTGGAGGACAAACTGACCACACTTTTCACTCTGCTACTGTCTTTACTTACTCTGCTCAACCTGTTTTGTATTTGTAATTATTTTTCTATCTTAACATGTGTTTGTTTTGTCTTTCAGGTACACCTGGACCTATGCCTGGACCTATACCTGGACCTGGACCTGGACCTGGACCTATACCTGGACCTACCATTCTGTGTTCGTCTGTCTCTCCTTCTTGTCCTCTCAACCAGCCGGTCAAAGCAGATGGCCGCGTGTCCCGAGTCTGGTTCTGCTGGAGGTTTCTTCCTGTTAAAAGGGAGTTTTTCCTTTCCACTGTTACCACTGTGCTTGCTCAGGATGGGCGACTGCAACGAAGCTAAGATTCAACTTGTCTGATGGATTCATTAGATAGAGAACTTTACCAATTGGCTTTTTGTATGTGAATGTTTCTGTAAAGTGCCCTGAGACAACTTTGTTGTGATTTGGTGCTATA